TCAGGCAGGTCCATGCACACACGGGACTCAGGCAGGTCCATGCACACGGGGCTCAGGCAGGTCCATGCACACACGGGGCTCAGGCAGGTCCATGCACACACGGGGCTCAGGCAGGTCCATGCACACACGGGGCTCAGGCAGGTCCATGCACACGGGGCTCAGGCAGGTCCATGCACACGGGGCTCAGGCAGGTCCATGCACACACGGGGCTCAGGCAGGTCCATGCACACGGGGCTCAGGCAGGTCCATGCACACACGGGACTCAGGCAGGTCCATGCACACACGGGGCTCAGGCAGGTCCATGCACACACAGGACTCAGGCAGGTCCATGCACACACGGGGCTCAGGCAGGTCCATGCACACATGGGGCTCAGGCAGGTCCATGCACACACGGGGCTCAGGCAGGTCCATGCACACACTGGGCTCAGGCAGGTCCATGCACACACGGGACTCAGGCAGGTCCATGCACACACTGGGCTCAGGCAGGTCCATGCACACACGGGACTCAGGCAGGTCCATGCACACACGGGGCTCAGGCAAGTCCATGCACACAGGGCTCAGGCAGGTCCATGCACACACGGGACTCAGGCAGGTCCATGCACACGGGGCTCAGGCAGGTCCATGCACACACGGGGCTCAGGCAGGTCCATGCACACACGGGACTCAGGCAGGTCCATGCACACGGGGCTCAGGCAGGTCCATGCACACACGGGGCTCAGGCAGGTCCATGCACACACAGGACTCAGGCAAGTCCATGCACACACGGGGCTCAGGCAGGTCCATGCACACATGGGGCTCAGGCAGGTCCATGCACACGGGGCTCAGGCAGGTCCATGCACACGGGACTCAGGCAGGTCCATGCACACACGGGACTCAGGCAGGTCCATGCACACGGGGCTCAGGCAGGTCCATGCACACACAGGACTCAGGCAAGTCCATGCACACAGGGCTCAGGCAGGTCCATGCACACACGGGACTCAGGCAGGTCCATGCACACGGGGCTCAGGCAGGTCCATGCACACACGGGGCTCAGGCAGGTCCATGCACACACAGGACTCAGGCAAGTCCATGCACACACGGGGCTCAGGCAGGTCCATGCACACATGGGGCTCAGACAGGTCCATGCACACGGGGCTCAGGCAGGTCCATGCACACGGGACTCAGGCAGGTCCATGCACACACGGGACTCAGGCAGGTCCATGCACACATGGGGCTCAGGCAGGTCCATGCACACGGGGCTCAGGCAGGTCCATGCACACACGGGGCTCAGGCAGGTCCATGCACACACGGGGCTCAGGCTGTCCATGCACACGGGACTCAGACAGGTCCATGCACACGGTGGCTAACGGTTCTGAAGCTGCACATGCCCGAGTCTGAGGCTCAGAGGATGCGACATCCCTTTTGCTGCGTTCCGTTGCTCAGAGCAAGTTCCGAGACGGGTTTTCAGAGCTGAGGAGGAGAATAACTCATCTCTTGGTGGAAGGACCCGCATAGAATTTCTGGCCATTTGCATTCTCCCCACCCCTTTCACCCACAGACGGGCGAGAAGAAAACACTTTGATGATGCCCTGCCAGTTGCTCCGTTAGGAAGCCTGTCTCCTACACCAAAAGGTTTCAGGTTCGATCCCGGGGCACACGCATGCAGGAGGCAATGGTCGATGTTCTCTCTCTCTCTCTCTCTCTCTCTCTCTCTCTCTCTCTCTCTCTCTCTCTCTCTCTCTCTCTCTCTCTCTCTCTCTCCCTCTCTCTCTGGTACTCGGCCAGGCTGTGGGGAGACAGACACCGCCCTTCCCTGCTGGGGAGTGTCCGTCGCACACTCTGTGGAGGGCTGTTTTGCAACCGCTCTCCTAATCACAGAACCGCTCACCGCTCGGGAACAGGGTGCACCTGTGGAATGGTATGAGCACAGCCTTCTTCATTGCGACACAGATTGTAACACTAAGTGGTGGGAAAACAGCTTGCTGCGTGAGAGGCCTGTCTGTCCACCGGAAAAAGCAAGAGGAAACGATGCAAAACTGTGCAAGCCGGGTCACATTGCTGTCACGTGGGGGACTCTGGGGGCACCATAGTGTGCGGCGTGCACTGTGGTTTGCGTGCCAAAGGGGCGCCCGTGCCCGTGTTTGCTGGCAGATGCAGAGTCGTTGCTGCTGCGTGGCCTGGCTGATACTGACTGATGGGACGCCTCCGAGGTCCCCTTGCCTTCCGGTTTCCAATTACGGGCAGGGGAACGCCCCCCGCCCGCCGCCTTGTCCTCCGCGCTCTTTACCCCACAAGCCTCCTGTTTGTGCAGCCTGCGGCCTGTGCGCCCGCCCGCCTTATCAGCCGGCCTTTTGGGGATCGGGCTTTCCGTCACGCAGCACCCGGGGCCGCTCCCTGCTCCCCAGCCCCGGGCTCCAGCGTGGGGACCTGCTCCTCCGTCTTCCCCTTCCCCCGGGACCCAGGGGCTCATGGGAGGAGGTGGGCCTTCTCCCCAAACCTCCCTCTGCCACAGCCCCAGCCCCCTCCCCCCCCCCCCAAAGCAATCCCAGGAAAAGCCACTCAGGCTCTTATCTCTTCCCTTAGGGTTGGCCCCTCCAAAGCCAGCTCCTGACGTACACACTGAGCGGGCGCCGCCCTGGAGTCCGGGAAGCATGCCGGGCCGGTGGAGTCACCTTGGCCTGGTCCTCCCACCGGCGTGGGCTCTCTCCTCCGAGCCAGGGGAGGGGGGACCCACCCAGCTGGCAGGGCCCCCACCCAGCTGGCAGTGCCCCCCGCTAGGGAGGGAGGAGGCCACAGGGCACCTGCTGTTCTCGGAGATGGACGCACGTCAGCTCACTTCATCCCCACAGCCCTTAGACGGGGGGCGGGGGGTGGGGGGGAGGGGGGCACCCCTTTGACACGCAAACCGCAGTGCACGCCGCACGCTGTGGTGCCCCCAGAGTCCCCCACGTGACAGCAATGTGACCCGGTGCGCGTAGTTTTGCATCGTTTCCTCCTGCTTTTCCCGGCGGACAGTCAGGCCTCCCGGGAGGTGCAGTGAGCTGTTCTCCCACCGCTTAGCACTGCCATCCGTGTCGCCGTGAGGAATGTGGTGCTCCCGCTCGCCCTGCGTGACAGATGAGGACACGGGGGCCCTGGCGGCCGGAAGGCCCGCCCCAGGCTGCCCAGCGCGAAGCGGCAGCGCCGGGACTCGAACCCAGGCCTTGTGGCTCCAGGTGGTCTCCTTGAAGCCGGAGTGTCATTCGCACAGACCCCCCACCACGAACGGTCGATCCTGGGGGTTTGCCACGTTAGTGGGCGAACACAGCGAGGCCCCAGGTGCATCTCCCGGGAGAGGCAGGTGCCGGGAGGGGACTCAACGCTCATGAAGAGGAGCCTGACAGAGACCAAGCTTCGTGGCGGGAGTCGCCCTGTGGTGGAGGCGACCTCATTCCCACTGGGCTGTGCACAAAGCAAGGCTGCCCAGGGAGAGGCAGGGGGAGGCAGCAGCGCCATGCAGGCCCCATTGGGGGCCGGGGGACAGGAGGCACTGTTTTTCCTCCCCTCCCTTGGGGAAGCCCAGTGGTCAGATCACAGGGGCCCGGCTTCGAATTCGGGCTGCGTGTCTCCACCCTCCCTTTGTGGCCTTGGACCGTGAGCCTTAGTCTCCTTTTCCACAAAATAGGGAAACTCAGGGCTGATTCCAGCTGTACCGGTTGTTAAAACATCGAGCTACTTCCAGGTTTGGGTGGTGAAAATTTGCTACCCAAGACCCGCCCCTCCCCCTCCAATAGCATGTCGGGGTTCTTCCAGCACCCCGAGTTCCAGCAACTGAGAGGGGAACGCGAGGCGAGTGGAGGCCACAGGGATGCTTTTCCAGCACGCCGGCAGAGTCGTTACTGCGACGTGGCCTGGCTGATACTGACTGATGCGAAAGTATTTTTTTAATTATATATTTTAATGATTTTCCACAGAGAGGAAGGGAGAGGGATAGAGAGCTAGAAACGTCGATGAGAGAGAAACATCGACCAGCTGCCTCCTGCACACCCCCCACCGGGGATGTGCCTGCAACTAAGGTACATGCCCTTGACCGGAATCGAACCCGGGACCCTTCAGTCCGCAGACCGACGCTCTATCCACTGAGCCACACCGGTGTTGGTGGGAAAGCATTTTGAACATCTCTCCTGGGTGTAATGATCGTGGCGGGTAAGACTGCTGTAAGGAGTCAGTGAGCTAAGGTCTCTCTGGAGTGACCAGGCAAAAGAGTAGTTATGTCATTACTAGTATTACTATTAATAATAGTGATAATAGCCGAAACCGGTTTAGCTCAGTGGATAGAGCGTCGGTCTGCGGACTGAAAGGTCCCAGGTTCGATTCCGGTCAAGGGCATGTACCTTGGTTGCAGGCACATCCCCAGTGGGGGATGTGCAGGAGGCAGCTGATCGATGTTTCTCTCTCATTGGTGTTTCTAACTCTCTCTCCCTCTCCCTTCCTCTCTGTGAAAAAATCAATAAAAGCTGAAACCGGTTTGGCTCAGTGGATAGGGCACTGGCCTGCGGACTGAAAGGTCCCAGGTTCGATTCCGGTCAAGGGCATGTACCTTGGTTGTGAGAACATCCCCCGTAGGGGGTGTGCAGGGGGACAGCTGGTCGATGTTTCTCTCTCATCGACGTTTCTATTAGCTCTCTATCCCTCTTCCTTCCTCTCTGTGAAAAATCAATAAAATATATATTTAAAAAAAATGATAGTGATAATAATAATAACAACAAAACTCATTCTCCTTCTGTGGCTTCACTGAGTAGCCATAGCTGAGTGGGGGGATTCTCCCACTCAGCGCCGCTTAGAACTCAGTCTCCCCATCTCCGTGCTCCCTACGCCCCTCCCTCCCAGGTGACCCCTGGGCCAGGATGGCGGGTGCGGCTGCTATCGCCCGGCCTGTTTGCCTTCCCTCCCCATGGGCTGCCGCCCCAGCCCAGGACCTGGGATAAAAGGCCAGGACACCCGCATCCTGCTTCCTGCTCTCCGGCCGGGACCATGCTCCGGCTCCTCCCTGCTCTGGTGCTCCTCGGGGCGCTGGCCGCCCCCCCAGGTAGGCCGCTGTGTGGGGTCCCCGGGAGAGCGAGGGGCCCCATCCCGTGGGCGGTGGGTTCTGAGCCTGAGCCCCAGCTCCCTCCACCTCTGCCTTCTGCCTCCCAGAGGCAGCGGGAGGAGGGAGGGAGGGCGCAGGCACGGCTCTGGAGCCGGCTGCCTGGGTTCCTATCCTGCCTCTGACCCTTCCGGGCCGCGACCCTGGGCCTGAGCCACTTAACCTCCGAGCTTCAGCTCCCTCGCTGTGAGGTCAGGGCGGTGATGACCTGCCGCAGGGGGCTCTGGGGGCATTCACTGAATTGATGTTTGAGGAACTTTTTTTTTTTTTTAAATATATTTTATTGATTCTTAACAGAGAGGAAGAGAGAGGGACAGAGAGTTAGAAACATCGATGAGAGAGAATCATCGACCAGCTGCCTCCTGCACACCCCGCACTGGGGATGTGCCTGCAACCAAGGTGCATGCCCTTGACCGGAATCGAACCCGGAACTCCTTGGTCTGCAGGCCCACGCTCCATCCCCTGAGCCAGGCCGGTGAGGGCTGAGGAACTTTTTAAGAGCTCAGAACAGTATCGGGCCCTGTCTGCTCTCAGGGGTAATTGTTACTCTTCCCTTCCCTCGCCTTCCGTGGGCCCTTCTGGTTCTGAAGGGCCCCGGGGCGGGGCTGGGAATGGGGCGGCGGGACCCGGGCGGGGCTTGTGTGTGACCTTGGGTGAGGCTGTCAGTCGCCCGGCTCCAGTGCCCTCCGCCCCGGGAGGAGGCGAGAGACAGGCCACCGTGTTCAGGCCGTGCTTCCCGGAGCCTGAAAGCTTCTTGGAAAAAGAAACGCTTCTCGGAAGAGCCCGGGGCCTCTCTGAGGCGGAGAAGGAGCCTGGCGGCCGGGCCTGGCTCAGGGGTCGAGCGTCGGCCTATGAACCAGGAGGTCACGGTTCCACTCCTGGGCTGCCGGCTCGTCCTCCAGTGTGGGGCGCGCAGGAGGCCGCCGGGCAATGATTCTCTCTCATCGTGGCTGTTTCCCTCTCTTCCCTTCCTCTCAGAAATCAATTTATATAAATAAAAATATATATAGGAATAATATAGTGCCTCTTTATTATATAAACATATATAAAAATTTATATATATTAGATATATAATTTTTAGTAATAATATAGTGCCTCTTTAAGGCACTATATATTTTATTTTATTATTATTTTTTTTTACAAGTAAGAAGGCTGACTGGACAGAGGTGATTCTCCCCAGCCCAGCCTAAGAAGGAGAATTCCACTCTTTCATTCTTAAGTTTCTTTCTGGGCTTTGCGGGTCCACAGCAGAGCTGGAGGGTCGGGTGGAGACGGCCAGCAGCTCCCGCTCCCTGGTGCTAACTCCACCTCCACGCCCCCAGCCTCTGCACCTCCCGGAAGATGCTCCCTGATCTTCTCCCAACAGCCCTACCTGCTCCCACCCAGCCTAGTCCTGTTCTGTGTGTGTATGTGTGTGTAGGTGTGTGTGTGTGTGTGTGTGTGTAGGTGTGTGTGTGTGTGTGTGTGTGTGTGTGTGTAGGGGTGTGTAGGGGTGTGTGTGTGTGAGTGTGTGTGTGTGTAGGGGTGTGTGTGTGTGTGTGTGTGTAGGGGTGTGTGTGTAGGTGTGTGTGTGTGTGTGTGTAGGGGTGTGTGTGTGTAGGGGTGTGTGTGTAGGTGTGTGTGTGTGTGTGTGTAGGGGTGTGTGTGTGTAGGGGTGTGTGTGTGTGAGTGTGTGTGTGTAGGGGTGTGTGTGTGTATGTATGTGTATAGGTGTGTGTGTGTGTTTGTGTGAGTGTGTGTATGTGTGTGTGTGTGTAGGGGTGTGTGTGTGTAGGGGTGTGTGTGTGTAGGGGTGTGTGTGTAGGTGTGTGTGTGTGTGTGTGTAGGGGTGTGTGTGTAGGGGTGTGTGTGTAGGTGTGTGTGTGTGTGTGTGTGTGTAGGGGTGTGTGTGTGTAGGGGTGTGTGTGTGTGAGTGTGTGTGTGTGTAGGGGTGTGTGTGTGTATGTATGTGTATAGGTGTGTGTGTGTGTTTGTGTGAGTGTGTGTATGTGTGTGTGTGTGTAGGGGTGTGTGTGTGTAGGGGTGTGTGTGTGTAGGGGTGTGTATAGGTGTGTGTGTGTGTGTAGGGGGTGTGTGTGTATAGGTGTGTGTGTGTGTGTGTGTAGGGGTGTGTGTGTGTAGGGGTATGTGTGTGTGAGTGTGTGTGTGTGTGTAGGGGTGTGTGTGTGTATGTATGTGTATAGGTGTGTGTGTGTTTGTGTGAGTGTGTGTGTGTATGTGTGTGTGTGTGTAGGGGTGTGTGTGTGTAGGTGTGTCTGTGTGTAGGGGTGTGTGTGTGTGTAGGGGGTGTGTGTGTATAGGTGTGTGTGTGTGTGTAGGGGTGTGAGTGTGTGTGTGAGTGTGTGTGTGAGTGTGTGTGAGTGTGTGTCCTCCCTCCTCTCGCTCCTCAAACAGCAGGTCTGATCAGCCCCGTCTCCCCACAGGGGCTGCCACGACGTGCCCAGCCTGCTCCTTCCCAGGAACCTGCAGAGAGACCGTCTGTCCTCCCGCCAAGGCCTCCTGCCTGTTCCGCCAGATGCAGCTGGGTAGAGGCCGACCGGGCTGGGCGGAGAGGCGGGGGGAGGGGGTGGCAGGGCCGGAGGGGGTCCTGGGTGAGCCTCCCTGGGACTGGAGGCTCCCAGCTCTGCCTCACCTCTCAGCTCAGTGCTGTGTGTGTGTGTGTGGGGGGGGGGGTGGGCTGGAAGGGGCGGTCTCAACACCAGGTGAGGCCCCAGACTGACCCCCGGGAGGGCCTGGGGGTGTCTCTAATCTCCCCTCCTCCACCTCTACCCTCAGAGAACGAGATCTTCATCAAGAACGGGTCGTGCGTGGCCCCGCAGGAATGCCGGGAAGGCGTCCTAGCCCTGACCTACGCCCCCGGCTCGGTTCTCAGCGCGGCCTGCTGTGACAACAACTGCAGCCTGGTCGCCCCACCAGCAGGTTTGTCCCGCCGCTGGGCGGAGTGCCCTGGGAACCTGGCCTCCGTTTCAAGCTCCGCCTGGCTCCTTAGAGTAGGGGTGTCGAACTCAATCAGAGAAGGGGCCAAAATCTAAAATCCAGCCTAAATCACGGGCCGAATGGTTTACTGAACAGTCATAAACTGTCATTGTGATGGAAACGCAGCAGAGTGCAGTGATGACAGCGCGGTGCGGGCCACATTGCAAGGCCTGGCAGGATGGATTTGGCCCGCGGGCCTTGTGTTTGACACATGTGCCTTAGAGCAAGGAGAGCCTCGGTCTTCCCATCCGGAAAATGGGTGTGAGCCAGGTTTCACAGAGGGCGCATCCACCACCCAGCTGGCACGTAGCAGGCCCTCCATTAAGGGTGGCTGTGGTTGATGAGCCATTGGGGGCTGGAGAGAAGCCCCAGACCTTCAGTTCTCCGGAGAGGGGCTCCCCAGAAAGCGAGTTATGGGTGGTCGCAGGCCCAGGGGGGGCGAGCCAGCGGGGTGCCCGGGTGCAGGATTTAAGGACGTGCTCACGCGCACGCACTGACTCCGCCCTCCCACGACCTTGACAGTGAGCACCCAGCTGGCCTCACTCTAGACCTGGCCCTGAGCGGTGACAAAGACTGCTTTCTGTGGCTCGGTGATTTCTTCAAAGAAGGGATTGGCATTGGGCGGGGGTAGCCATGGGGCGGCCGGAGAGCTCCACACGTGGGGCGACGAGCCATCCTTTCAAACTCCTGGGGTGTCCCTCCTCCTACGCGGTGCACCTCGACCAAACAACACCCAAGGCCAAGGGGAAAGGTGGGCGTGCCATTCAGGATGTAATGCACCGGGCCTCGGCTGGCGAACCAGGAGGTCGCGGGGGTTAGAGAGTTGGCCTGCACCCTGAAGGGTCTGGGGTTTGAGTTCTGGTCAAGCGGATGTACCTGGGTGGCAGGTTCGATCCCTGGCCCAGTCAGGAAGCACGCAGGAGGCAACCAATTGATGTGTCTCTCACATTGATGTTTCTTTCTCTTTCTTTTTTCTTCCTTCCTTCCTTCCTTCCTTCCTTCCTTCCTTCCTTCCTTCCTTCCTTCCTTCCTTCCTTCCTTCCTTTCTTCTTCTTCTTCTTCTTCTTCTTCTTCTTCTTCTTCTTCTTCTCTCTCTCTCTCTCTCTCTCTCTCTCTCTCTCTCTCTCTCTCTCTCCTCTATCTCTTTCTCTTTCCCCCTCCTTCCTTTCTACTCTCTCTAAAAAGCAATGGAAAAAACTCTCAGGTGAGGATTAAGAACAACAACAAAGAATATAAAATGTCAGTGTTTTTTTTTTTAAGCATTTTTTATTGATTTTAGAGAGGAAGGGAGAGAGAGAGAGAGAGAGAGAGAGAGAGAGAAACATCAATGATGAGAAAGAATCATTGATTGGCTGCCTTCTTCACGCCCCCCTACTGGGGATCAAGCACACAACCTGGGCATGTGCCCTTGACTGAAATCAAACCCGGGACCCTTCAGTCTGCAGGCCAAACCGGCTAGGGCTAAAACGGCAGTTTTGATTGAAACTGCTTTGAACAAAACTACTATGAGTAGAGAAGGATCAAAGGGACTACCTCGAAATACTTAGTAATTGTCTTTTTAAATCTTCACCTGAGGATATGTTTTTATTTATTTGTTTGTTTGTTTATTTATTTGTTTATTTAAATACATTTTTATTGATTTTGTACAGAGAGGAAGGGAGAGAGATAGAGAGTTAGAAACATCGATGAGAGAGAGTCATCAATCAGCTGCCTCTTGCACACCTCCTACTGGGGATATGCCCGCAACCAAGGTACATGCCCTTGACCAGAATCAAACCCGGGACCCTTCAGTCCCCAAGCCGACGCTCTATCCATTGAGCCAAACCGGTCTCGGCCACCTGAGGATATGTTTTTATTTATTTTTGGGAGAGAGGAAGGGGGAGAGAGAAACATGGATATGAAAGAGAAACATCGATCCTCCTGTGCCCACCGGAGTGGGGATCAAACTGGCAGCCTAGGCATGTGCCCTGACCGGATCAACCCCCCAGCCTTTTTGGTGCACCAGACGACGCTCAACCAACTGAGCCACCCTCCCCTTGGCAGAGGACCAACAGCAGCTCCGTCCAGTGAAATAGAAAGTTATCTGTATACTAGAGGCTCGGTGCACAAAATTCATGCACAGGGGTGGTGTGTGTCCCTCAGACCAGCCTGCACCCTCTCCAATCTGGGACCCCTCGAGGGCAGTCGGACATTCCTTTCACAATCCAGGACTGCTGGCTTCCAACTGCTTGCCTGCTTGCCTGCCTGATTGCACCTGCTTCTTTTTTTTTTTAATTTTTATTATTATTTTATTTTATTTTTATTTTTTATTAAATTATTATCTGTGTACATATTTTAACATTGCCCACCCCCTAACTGCTTCTGCCTGCCAGCTTGATCAACCCCTCACCACTCCCCTGCCAGCATGATTGATGCCTAACTGCTCCCCTGACAGCCCAATTGCCTCTAACTACCCTTCCCTGCTGGCCTGGTCACCCCCAACTTTCCTCCCCTGCCAGCCTGATTGTCCCTAACTGCCCTCCCCTGCAGACCTGGTCCTTCCCAACTGCCCTCCCCTGTTGGCCTGATCACCCACAACTGCCCTCCCCTGCTGGCCATCTTGTGGTGGCCATCTTGTGTCCATATGGGAGCCGCCATCATTGACCACATGGGGGTGGCCATCTTGCGTGTTGGAGTGATGGTCAATTTGCATATGACCTCTTTATTATATAGGATGTAATGAAAGGTTTTCCAGGAGCCAAACCAAAAAGTCTCAAAGAGCCCGGCCAGGATGGCTCAGTTGGTTGAGCGTTGTCCCCGGTGGGGCCCGCACCTGAGTTGTGGTTCAATCTCCGGTCGGGCCCAGATTGAGTGCAGCTGGTGCTGGCTTTTCTCTCACATCGATGTTTCTCCCTCTCCCTTCCTCTCTCTAAGCTCGTGCTCGGGTGAGGATTTAAAAAAAGGTTACAAAGAAATGGGTGAAATTAATTTTAAAAATATATTTTATTTAATGTGCCACACCTAAAACATTTCAGCACATATGTAGTCAATCCAACATTCCTCATGAAAAATTCCACATTCTTTTTCACACTAAGCCTCTGAAATGAGGGTGTGTCTTACACTCACAGCACATCCCTAAAGGAACGAGCCGCCTTCCACATGCTCCACATGTGGACAGCACTGGGGTGGGCAGCACTGTTCACAGTTACGGTTCTTTTTCATTTATTTTAAAAACATTTATTTTATTGATTTTTACAGAGAGGAAGGGAGAGGGATAGAGAATTAGAAACATTGATGACAGAGAAACATGGATCAGCTGCCTCCTGCACCCCCCTCCCCCCCTCCCCCAAGGTATGTGCCCACAACCTTGACCGGAATTGAACCTGGGACCCTTGAGTCCGCAGGCCGACGCTCTATCCACTGAGCCAAACCGGTTAGGGCCATGGTCCATTTTTAGTCTCCTTTCCTGGTACTGGCCGATATTTCAATAGAAGGCCACACGAACATGCCTCATGGCTTAGTTTTGACTCATGAGAAATATGCTTCCAACAGCTTCCTCTTCAGTGTCTAAGAAAGCTCTCAGCATTAGTCAGACGGTGGAGAAGCTGAAGCCACAGTTCCATCCACTCTTTTGCAGAATACCACAAGACCTCAAAACCCAAAATAGCAGGATCCCTTCTTAATCCCTTTTGCAACGGGAGGTCTTTAAGGGAAGGCCGGCGCTGTGTCTCCAGAGCGGGGCCTGGTCCACGGGAGGCACCCGAGAAATGTTTGTGGGATGAATCCAAGGGCCCTGAGGGTCCTTTCCTCGGAATGAGCCCTCAGGGGCCGGAAGGAGGTGGCCGAGGCCAGCTGGCCCCGCTCTGGAGGAGAATGCTGTGGGCTTTGGCGGGCGGAGGCGGCAGGACCAGGGCTGCGGACGTGTCCCTCAGCCCCATCCCGCCCTGACCGTGCCCCCTCCCCCCAGGCGGGGCCCCGCCCAACGGGGTGAAGTGTCCTTTCTGCTCCGGGAGCGGTTCCACCCCCTGCGACTCCCTCTCGGTCCTGAGCTGCACCGGCCCCCAGACCGTGTGTGCCACCCTCCGGGGCACATGGACGCGAGGTAAGGCTCCCGCACGGCCCGCCCTCCTCCCGCTGCGCAGGGAAGGGCTGGGGTCCGTCTGCGTGCGTGCGCGGGTCACTATGGCTCCTGAGCAAATCCTCTGCCAGGCCAGTGACTTAAACACATCCACCGCCGTTCCATGAGCACGTGTGGTCTCCGTGGGCTGAGGCGTCAGGAGGGGCCCAGCGGTACCGTTCTGGGCCTCTCGGTGGTTGCAGTCAGGAGGTGGCGGAGGGCAGCTGTGGGACGGTGGAGGGGGGTGGGGAAGGGGGTGGGGGGCTTGCCGTGTGGTCTCTCCGCCTTGGCGAGCTTGGGCTTCCTGCCGTCATGGCTGCCGCCCTCTCTACCTGGGGCTGCAGACGTGGAGAACAAGCAAGCCAGCCACCAAGTGGCGGCGGCATGGCCTCTGGCAGCCTCGCTCTGGGAGTCACACCAGGGCCCGTCTGTCGGGCTTTCCTGGCTGGACCAGTCACAAAGGTCCATGTGGCTTAAAAGGAGGAGGCATATTTATATTTAATATATATTTTATTGATTTTTACAGAGAGGAAGGGAGAGGGAGAGAAACATCGATGAGAGAGAAACATCGATCAGCTGCCTCCTGCACACTCCCCACTGGGGATGTGCCTGCAACTAAGGTACATGCCCTTGACTAGAATTGAACCCGGGACCCTCGAGTCCACAAGCCGAAGCTCTGTCCACTGAGCCAAACCGGCTAGGGCAGGTCCTCATCTCTTGATGTTTCAAAGAATTTGCGGAGGTATTTTATTTTATTTACTTATTTGTTCATTTATTTATTTTATTGACTTTTCACAGAGAGGAAGGGAGAGGGATAGAATTAGAAACATCAATGAGAGGGAAACATCGATCAGCCACCTCCTGCACAGCCCCTATTGGGAATGTGCTCACAACTAAGATACTGCCCTTGATGGGAATCAAACCTGGGACCCTTGAGTCCCCAGGCCGACACTCTGTCCACTGAGCTAAAACGGCTAGGGCTCGAAGGTGTTTTAAAATCCCCACTTTCTGCAAATGGTTGGAGCAGGGGCTTTTGGAGCAAAAGGCTTAGGCTAGACTGACCAGGTGATGCACTAACCGTGAAGCCACCCAACTGACAGAGAGAGTGGCCTGGCTCCTGCCCCGGCAGCACGGTGGCCCGGGGCCTCCGAAGGGCCTTGTTGCCACACACAGAGGCCACGGACAGCACCGGGAGGCCCCGAGGCCCCGCCTCGTGGCCAGCTGCCCCAGGACAGAGCTGTAGGCGATGGGTGTGAAGGAACAGCACGAGGTGACCAGGGATGCTGGAGAGTGAATGGCACAGAGACACAGACAGACCTCCAGGAGGCGTCCAGGCCCTGAGCCCCCGACGCCCTCTGTTCCCCTCTGCAGGGGGGCCCCCGGTGCTCCAGGGCTGTGCCACGCCGGCGCTGTGCCGCCTGCCAGCGAACAGCATGCTGGGCCCCGAAGCGTTTGGGTTTCGCCTCACGACCCCGCCTGAGTGCCGCTCCGAGGACCTAACCACCCGGCCAGGTGCTGTGAACCCTGACTTCCGGGACCCTCCCCTCCCCGCCCTCCCTCTTACCCCACCCCCACTTCCTTCCCGATCCTGTCTGTTCCCGGGGCTCCCCCTCCTCCTACACAATGTTCCCAGCGAGTGTAACCACTCATGTTCATGAGCGTGCACACACCACACACACATACACACACACGCGCACACACACACTCACACACACATGCACACACACACATGCACACACTCACACCCATACACACACCCCACACACACACCCCACACACATACACACACATACACACCCACTCACACCCCACCCCCCTCACACACACATGCACCCATACCCACCCACACACACACACACACATACACACACTCACACCCATACACACACCTCACACACACCCCACACACACATACACACACATACACACCCACTCACACCCCACCCCCTCACACACACATGCACCCATACCCACACCCACATACCCACATACACACATACACACATGCACACGCACACACACACATACATACATGTACACACACACACACACACCACCTGACTTACCCAGAAGAGAAAATCCCATTGGCACATAGCCACACATCCTCAAATACCCACATTTATTATTATTTTTATTTTTATTTATTTTTAAAAATATATATTTTATTGATTTTTTACAGAGAGGAAGGGAGAGGAGAGAGAGAGCTAGAAACATCGATGAGAGAGAGAGACATCAACCAGCTGCCTCCTGCACCCCCCACACCAGGGATGTGCCTGCAACCAATGTACATGCCCTTCACTGGAATCGAACCCTGGACCTTTCAGTCCGTAGGCCGACGCTCTATCCACTGAGCCAAACCGGTTTCGGCAATTATTTTTTTTTAAAGATATATATTGTATTGATCTTTTACAGAGAGGAAGAGGAAGGGAGAGGGATAGAGAGCTAGAAACATCGATGAGAAGAACCTGGGACCCCCGAGTCCACAGGCCGAAGCTCTATCCACTGAGCCACACCGGTGAGGGCAAACACCCACATGTATATCCTGGTACTCAGAGCAGGCCTGGAGAGGAGCACGCATGCCTCACCAGGAACGTCCTGTCCTGTAAGAGTGTGAGAGACCTCACCCGGGTCTCTTCCTTCCTCCTTTCACGTTCCTGCCTGTGAACGAAGACGATGGCCGCTGGCTCCCTGGGCGTAAGGCAGGCGCCGGCGGGGATTTCTGTCTCCCAGGAAAGAGGGGTGTCCCTGGGTGGAGCTCCCGGGGCGCTGGCTCTCTAAGGGGGCGCCTGATCCGAATGCGGGCCTCCCGGGGGAGGGAGGGACCTGCCAGCCTCGGCGGCCCCTGTCCTCAGCGCCAGCATGGGAGGCGCTTTGGCTGGAAATCGCAGGCCGAGGGCGGTTCTGCGGGGCAGACGCTCTCTCTGCTGAATCTGCAGCGAAAAGGGAACATTCCTACTTTCGCTTCCTCAGATTCCAGCTGCTAGGAGTTCTACTTGTCTTCCTCTCTTTTTTAAATATATGTTTTTATTGATTTTTAAAAATACACATTGTATTGATTTTTTACAGAGAGGGAGAGAGAGTTAGAAACAGCGATGAGAGAGAAACATCGACCAGCTGTCCCCCTGCACACCCCCTACGGGGGATGTTCTCGCAACCAAGGCACATGCCCTTGACCGGAATCGAACCTGGGACCTTTCAGTCCACAGGCCAGTGCCCTATCCACTGAGCCAAACCGGTTTCAGCTTTTATTGATTTTTTCACCGAGAGGAAGGGAGAGGGAGAGAGAGTTAGAAACACCAATGAGAGAGAAACATCGATCAGCTGCCTCCTGCACATCCCCCACTGGGGATGTGCCTGCAACCAAAGTACATGCCCTTGACCGGAATCGAACCTGGGACCCTTCAGTCCGCAGGCCGACGCTCTATCCGCTGCGCCAAACTGGCTAGGGTGGAGTTTTACTTTTCAAAACCAAGCAGTGACTTAAATTACTGATCGCAATGGGGCGGGGGAGGTAAATCTGGAAAGGAAAAGGGGAAGATGGGATTGCCATGCTGGAACGTGGCTGGGGGACGTCTGCATACGCAGTTCCTCCGGACGTATATCCGTGCGAGGACACAGCGGCTGTCAGATCCAGACCCACACATGCGGACCGGGAAAGAGACGGGACAACATGCACAAAGCAGCCCTAGTCGGTTTGGCTCAGTGGATGGAGCACTGGCCAAGGGCCTGAAGGTCCCAGGTTCCATCCAGGTCCGGACACACTGTGGGCTCCATCCCCAGTAGGGGGCGTGCAGGAGGCAGCCAATCAATGATTCTCTTTCATCATTGATGTTCCCATCTCTCCCTCTCCCTTCCTCTCTGAAATCAATAAAAACATTAAAAAAAAGATAAAATAAAAGCACAAAATATCCACAGATACGCTGAAATAGGCTAACATCCACAAACGTTCATGTCTATGTGCCAGCCTATATCCAAGCACCCCACGCCTTGCTGGAAACATGGACACACACAGACACACACACACAGACACACACACACTCACACTCACACACAGACACACACACTCACACACACACACACTCACACACTCACACACACACACACTCACACACACACACTCACACACACACACTCACACACACACACTCACACACACACACACACATCCTACATACACATACTCACACACACACTCACACACACACACTCACACACACACACTCACACACACTCACTCACACACACACTCACACACACACACATCCTACACACACATACTCACACACACACACTCACACACACACACTCACACACACACTCACACACACTCACACACACACGTCCTACACACACACTCACACACACACACATCCTACACACACACACTCACACACACACTCACACACACACACACATCCTACACACACATACTCACACACACACACTCACACACACACTCACACACACTCACACACACATACTCACACACACATACACACACACACTCACACACACACACACACACACACACTCACACACACTCACACACACATACTCACACACACACACTCACACACACACATGTCCTACACACATATACTCACACACACACTCACACACACTCACACACACATACACACACACTCACACACACACATCCTACACACACATACTCACACACACACTCACACACACACACTCACACACACTCACACACACACACATCCTACACACACATACACACTCACACACACATACTCACATACACTCACACACACACACTCACACACACACACTCACACACACTCACACACACACACTCACACACACTCACACACACACACATCCTACACACACATACACACTCACACACACATACTCACATACACTCACACACACACACTCACACACACACACTCACACACACTCACACACACACACACACTCACACACACACACATCCTACACACACATACACACTCACACACACACTCACATACACTCACACACACATACTCACACACACACACTCACACACACACACACGTCCTACACACATATACTCTCACACACACACACACACACACACACACACACACACTGTCCTCCAGCAGCTCACCTTCCTCTCTTTCCAGTTTCCCAAGCAGCTTCCACCCGCAGCAAAGCCAAGGCCACCACCACCTGCTTCACCTGCTCAGACAGCGGCCACTGCCACCCACTCTCCTGCCCGGTGGAGAGGAACTACTGCCTCCAGGCGGCGGGCGTCCTGGGTGAGCGCCCCCCCACCCCCCGGACGGGCTGGGAGGGGGCAGGGCGGGGCCTGGGCACAGCCAGGCCTCTCCCTGCCCCCCGGCTGCTGCCGTACGGACCCACAGCGGCCTCCTCCTGCCCGCGGAGGACAGGCCGGTGGCAGGGGAGGATGTGAGTTGACATCCGATGCCACAGTTTAGTATTTACTGCTGAATACTACGTCAACTAGCACAGGGGCTCGACGAACAGAACAGAAACAAACCCGCAGACACAGAGCACATTGTGGCTGTCAGGTGGGAGGGAGGCTGGGGCTGGGGTAAAGGTGACGGGACCAGGAAGTGCCAACCAAGTCATTAAAACAGCCGTGGGGTGTGAAGTACAGCCCAGGGAACAGGGCCACTCTCACTGTAATGACGCTGTAAGGTGCCGGGTGGGCACTGGACTCACAGAGGTGATCGCCTTGTAAGGCACGTAAACATCTCATCACCATGTTGTGCACCTGAAAGGACATAATGTAATAGAAAAATAGTTCGGTGCTCAATTTTGGCAAAAAAAAAAAAAAAAAAAAAAAAAAAAAAAAAAAAGGAAAGAAACAACAGAGTAGTGACTTTTATATATATAGTGTAAAAGGACAAATACTACATGATTTCACTTATATGAGGATCTAGACGAGACCATGGAAACAGAAAGTAGCTGCCGGGGGAGAGGGGAATGGGGCGTTGCTATTGGATGCGTAAAGCGTTTTAGTTTTGCCAAATGAAGTCCTTCTAGAGACCAGCTTCACGATATTAATGCAGTTAACACTGCTAAACTGTACACTTAAAGAGGTTAAGACTCTATACATTTCATATTATGTGTGTTTGTTTTTAACCACAATTTTAAAAAATCCTTCATGGCACAAAATACGGTTTATTATTTCCCAGCATTCTGTGGGCTGCCCCGGCTCGTTGGGGCCGCTCTGCTCTGCTCCTGGCGTGAAGGCTGAGCCACCGAGGTGGCTGCAGTCAGCTGGGAGCTCACCGGGGGTGGAGCGTTCACGTCAGCCTCTCACCTCCCACCTCCCACCCCCTCTCTCCACCGGGCCCCCAAGCCTGGCTGAGCTTCTTTCAGTGTGGTGTCCGGCTTCCAAGGAGGAAGAAGTGAAAACCAGCCTCTTCAACTTACTTTATTTCAGTTTTTAATCCTCACCCAAGGGTATTTTTTCCCGTTGATATCTATCTATCTATCTGTTTATTTATTTATTTATTTAAAATATATTTTATTGATTTTTACAGAGGAAGGGAGAGGGATAGAGAGTTAGAAACATCCATGAGAGAGAAACATCCATCAGCTGCCTCCTGCACACCCCAACTGGGGATGTGCCCACAACCAAGGTACATACATGCCCTTGACCAGAATCGAACCTGGGTCCCTTCAGTTCGCAGGCTGATGCTCTATCCACTGAGCCAAACTGGTTAGGGCTTTCCATTGATTTTTAGAAAGAGTGGAAGACAGGGAGGGAGGGAGGGATGGGGAAGAGAGAGAGGGGGAAAGGAGAGAGGAATATATATATATTGTATTTATATCAATATATCTCAATATCTCTCTCTCTCTCTCTCTCTCTCTCTCTCTCTCTCTCTATATATATATATATATATATATATATATATATATATATATATATAAATGTGAGAGAGACACATCAACTGGTTGCCTACTTGAACATGCCCATTCCGAGGCCAGGTCTTGAACCTGTAGCTCAGGCATGTGCCCTTGACCAGGAATCAAACCTGAGACCCTTCGGGGAGTGGGCTGATGCTCCACCCACACCGGCCAGGGCTACCGGCTGCTTCTTAAGGTGAAGCCCGGAACCGCCACGGTCTGCGCGTCAGAGGCAGTCATGAGGCCAGCCCAGGGTTCAGGAATGAGGAAAGAGATTGCACCTCTGGATGCAGCAGGGGTAAGGTCATGCTGCAAAAAACACAAAACCGTGTGGGATGGGAGACACAGTGGGGCCATCTTGAAGTCTACTGGAGCCGGACCTTCCTGCTGAGGGAAGAGTTGAACCAGAAAGCAGTCTGTCTGTGGTATAAATTTTAAGAGACACAGAAGTAGTGTAAACAGGAATGCCTGCAGCATGGTTGGGAATAGTAAGGACGGGGGACCGGGCGGGCACGGGGTCCCCGAGAAGCCCTGGCTAAGGGGACGGGGTGCTCACAGGCAGGCTGCTGAGACACCTCAGAACCAGAGCCACCTGCTGACTGGAACCCTAGGGGCGGAGGCGGGAGGACGGCTCTGAGCTGCGTCTGGATGCACAAGGACAGGTCTGTGTGCATCAGGGTGACCTCAGGCAGTCTGAACGCCAGCGATGACCCGCCGGGGGCCTGCCGGCTTGTGATTGCTCTTCTTCCAAACCCGCTTCCAAATCTCTCCAGCCGTAGGGGGCGGGGACTCTGTCTCCTGGAGAAACGGCTCCTGCGTGGCCGCCGAGGACTGCAGATCGGACCAGCCCGGTGCCTCTGGCCTGACCCTCAGCGCCGGTCTGGGCTACTGGGTCAACACCACCTGCTGCCAAGGCAGCTGCCAGGAGCCCGCGCCTCCGGGTACGCTGCCCCGGACGCCAGCGGCCGGGGGGGGGGGCTGCGGGGGTGCGTGGAGGAGTGAGTCCTGGTTGAAGAAGGCGGGCGGGCGGGCGGGCGGGAGCATCAGGTAACCCCCTTGCCCCAACCAGGCTGCCCGAGGGCACTGACCCTGCTCCTTGGGGCGGAGCCCAGGCTGCAGGGCGGGCCCTAGCGCCCCGGTCCGCCCGCTGACCCCGTCCTCCTCCTCCTCCTCCGCAGCGCCGCCCGCCGCCCGCCCCCTGACCAGGTTCCTGTGTCCCACCTGTGCCGGCGGCCTCCCAGGGCCCTGCGACTCCTCCCTGTACGTGCAGTGCCCCCGTGGGGAGATCACGTGTGTCCAGCTGGACCTGGTGTCTGAAGGAGGTAACGTGCGTGTCTGGTGTGAACACGTGTGTGTGTGTGAGCGAGCCCGCGCGCACGGCTCTGGCACGAGGCGGGCTGGGTTCGGGGCCCTCCTCTGTCATTTCCGCTGTGTGACCAGAGATGAGTGGCTTCGTCCCGTGGAGCCTCAGTTTTCCCATCCGGTAAATGGGAGAACTGGGAACACCCTCCCCCCCCCCCCCCAGGGTTTCGTGAGGAAGAAGCGAGTCCATGAGAGAGGGGGGAAAGCAGAGGGCATACAGCAGGCCGGGGGCCAGGCTGCCTGGGGTCCAACCCCAGATCTGCCTCTCGGTGCCTCAATTTCCCATCCGAGAGAGAGGAGAACTGTAGTCCCTGATTCCTAAGGCTGTTGTGAAAATCCGGTAAGATAATTCCTACAACTTCCAGATGGGTGATGCCCCAAAGAAATATAGTGTGAGCCACATGTATAATTTAAACTTTTCTAGCAGCCACATTTAAAAAGTACAAAGTAACAGATTAAATTAATTTAGTTTATATATATATATATATATATATATATATATATATATGTGTGTGTGTGTGTGTATATATATATATATATATATATATATATAGAGAGAGAGAGAGAGAGAGAGAGAGAGAGGCCAGATTATTATGGTCTCTGAATGCATACTAATCTGGCCACTCTGTATATCCTATATAATAAAAGGCTAATGTGCAAATTGTCCCCTCAACCAGTTCAACCAGCAGGCAGGCCGGCCAACTGCCCATGTCCCCTCCCCATAGACAGGCTGGTGAGACCCCACCCCTGCACGAATATATATAGATACACACACACACACACACACACACACACACCCTGGAAAAAATCGGGACTGTTTTAAAATGCCACGGTACATGGGACAAATTGTTAAAAATCGGGACGTCTGGTCACCTTATATTAGTGGGGAGACAGGAAGTCAGCTCTACTCAGAAATGTCGAAACGTGTGGGTTTAAGGGGGGTGTGCCTCTCGGAACTGACGCGATTCAAGGTCAGCGGTCAGTGGTGTTGTGTGTGGGCAAGTCTTCCTTCCGTGAGGCAGGCAGGCCTTCCGTCAGCATTGCTCAGGGACCGATGTGCGGGGCGCCTGGGTGTAAGCACAGTGCTGTGTGTGTGTGTGTGCCTGTGTGTTTCTGTGCCTGTGTGTGTGTGCCTGTGTGTGTGCCTGTGTGTGTGCCTGTGTGTGTGTGCCTGTGTGTGCCTGTGTGTGTGTTTCTGTGCCTGTGTGTGTGTGCCTGTGTGTGTGCCTTTGTGTGTGTGTGCCTGTGTGTCCCAGGGCACAGGTGTGTGTGTGTGGATCGTTGTGGGCCTCTGGGGACCGCAGGGGAGCTGCGTGTGACTGAGATGTGTGTGCACGTGGGTACGAGCGGGTGGGGGCCTGAGGGTGGGTGTGGGACAGGGCCTCACGGACACGGCTCTTGGAGGAAGTCTATTCCAGCCCAGGGCAAAACGAGACACAGACCCACCAGGCTGCGATGCTTACATGTCCTCTTAGCCTTCGTGTTACGGAGACATTCAGAGACAAATACGAGGGAACAGTTCAGAAAACCCCCCACACTCCCCGCCCAACTCCAGAAACCACGCATTCGTGGCCAGGCCCGTTGCACCAGTGTTCCTTTGAGCACAAACTCAGGTATCTTATCACGTCAGCCGAGAGGATTTCCAGCCACATCCCTCGACGACAAGGACTGAAAAATAACCCACCCTTGTTGTGAGGCGTTTTCTGTTGGTAAAATAAGACCATTTCACGTTCCTCTCTCCCATCAAGACCTCAGTAAACGGGCTGCATTTGTATATTTGTAGTTGTAGGGAGGTATTATATAACACTGTATTGTACCGTACGGCTCTGAAGAAGCCTAGGAATTCAAGGGAAGTTGTACACGGAGCGGCCGTGTGACATAGTGGCCTCGCAGTGTCGGTTTTTATTAATTTTGGGCACAGGAGAGGGACGCCTGGAGCACACAGGTCAGGCGCCCAGTGCCAGGAGAAGCAGCTGTGCCAGGCCCCCTCAAGGGCCAGAACATCGCTAGTGAGCTTCCCAAAGGCATGGAATCGGGGGTCTGCCATTCCCTCCCATGTTTCCTTTAAAAAAAAATTTCTTTATTGATTAAGGTATCACATATTTGTCCTCATCCCCCCATTTCTATCCCCCACCCCTCCCCACTCATGCCCCCACCTCCCTGTTGTCCTTGACCTCTGGTTAGGCTCATATGTGTGCACATAAGGCCTTTGGTCGATCTCTCCCCTTTATGTCCACCCTCCTCTACCCTCCCTCTGAGGTCTGACAGTCTGACCCGGGGCTCCTTGTCTCTGGGTCTGTTCTTGTTCATCAGTCTGTGTTGTTCACCATTTCCCCTAGAGGAGTGAGATCATGTCCTACTGGGAATACACTTATAAGAACCGAAAATGAGACAAGAAATAATGGTTATGCTAAGAGGATATGAATCAGTCTGTAGTGAGTTTCTTTCTGAGCCAACAGTTCTTCTTTTTTTTAAAAAAAATATATTTTATTGATTTTGTACAGAGAGGAAGGGAGAGAGACAAAGAGTTAGAAACATCGATGAGAGTCATCAATCAGCTGCCTCTTGCACACCCTCCACCGGGGATATGCCCGCAACCAAGGTACATGCCCTTGACCGGAATCGAACCCGGGACCCTTCAGTCCCCAAGCCGATGCTCTATCCATTGAGCCAAACCGGTTTCTGCCCAACAGTTCTTTTGAGACACAATATCTATCTTTCTTTCTTTCTTTCTTTCTTTCTTTCTTTCTTTCTTTCTTTTTCTTTTTTTACTATATTTTATTGATTTTTTTACAGAGAGGAAGAGAGAGGGAAAGAGAGTTAGAAACATCTATGAGAGAGAAACATCTATGATCAACTGCCTCTTGCACACCCCCTACTAGGGATATGCCCACAACCAAGGTACATGCCCTTGACCGGAATCAAACCTGGGACCCTTCAGTCTGCAGGCTGACGCTCTATCCACTGAGCCAAACCGGTTTTGGCATGAGACCCAATTTCAATGTCAAACAGTTCCTTATGTGTACATGTCAGCAATGATGGTGGGCAAATGGTGGCAATGCAGGTCCAACCCTCTCTGGTTTGGTCCTGGGCAACCCACAGCAACGCACAGCTGCTGACTGCTAATATGGCAAGGTCCTTTAAAAAAATTAATCTATTAAAAATATTCTTATTGATTTCAGAGAGGAAGGGAAATGGTGAAAGAGAAAAACATCAATGATGAGAGAGAATCATTGATGGGCTGCCTCTTGCACGCCCCCTACTGGGGATGGAGCGAATTGAACCCCGTACCCTTCAGTCTGATGCTCTATCCACTGAGCAACACCGGCCAGGGCCCATGCTTCCTATTTGGGGTGACAGTTTTGTTTCCCAAAACCTCAGCCAGCCTCTGGCCTGGCGGACAGGCCGCTCGGAGGGCGGGCGGGAGGGTGTGCGGGGCCCCTTTGCTGCCTCGGAGGATGCTGAGACCTGGGGTGGAGGCTGCGGCTGGCCCCGGCCGCGCCCTCACCCCGCACCGCGTCCCCGTCCCCCCCTCTCCGCAGGCGGCCGGAACCTGAGCGTGCGGGGCTGCGGCTCCCGCGACCTGTGCAACGGGACGGCGGCGCTCCCGCCCGGCCTGCGGCTGGCCGGCCCGCCCAGCTGCAGCTCCCGCAGGCGCGCCGTCCTCGCCTACACCTGCTCCTGGGGGTCGGGGTCGGGGTCCGGGTCCGGGTCCGGGTCCGGGGCGGCGCCAGGCCCCCACCTCGCCCTGCCCGCGCTGGGGGCGCTGGTGGCGCTGGCCGCCCTGGCCCTGGCCTAGCGCCCCCCCAGCACCCCTGTTCCGCTGGGCGCTGGTGGCACCCGGCGCCCCTCCGCTAGGCCTCGCCAGGGGCCCGGAGCTGGGGAGACAGCCAAGGGGCCAGCCTCCTCCCCAGGCTGGTGACAGATCCTCCTTCCCCAACGGATGGACATGACGTAACCTGCACCTGCGGCCGGACATTCCTCAGCGCCTCACCAGGCGCCTTCCATGGACTGTACATGAACCCCCCATCAGCACCTGCCAAGTACCCTAAGCCCCCATCCCTAAGTGCCCAATCATGTGCCTTACATGAAACCGCCAATCAGCATGTGCCGGTGCCCTAAGCCCCACCCCTTCCTGTCTCCCCCCCAAAAGGCCCTTCACCCCTGCAGGTGTGCTCGCTTCCTTTGGGAGGCAGCCAGCCGGCCAGGTCCCTCCCGTCCAATAAAGCCCGTGTCCTGGTCTCCGGCCTCTGCCTCACCTTTCTCTTGGTTCCTGCGGACAGGGCTGGGGGAAGAGCTGATGCGGGCACAGCCCTCGGAGGGTACCATGGAGGGAGGGAAGTAACAGCAGCCTCTCCCCCTGTCTCTGGGAGGGGCGCCCCGGGGTCACACCGGCAGGACATGACCCCAAAAGCCCCACTGGCACCGGAAGGCCTGGGCGGAGGTTGTCGGCCTGGGTGCTGTGAGGGGTGGGGAAGCAGGTGCTGTTTCTGGGAGACTGGAGGCCCCCAGGACAGGACAGGCTGTGCTCCCCGCGGGGCAGGCGGGTGCTCAGGAAATGCTTGCAGCGAAAGCTGGTTTAAGGGCGTGACCCGGAGTCTGAGGGAGAGAAGGGGACTGTGGGGCGGGGGGCAGCAAACTCGGGCAGAGGATTTATTTATTTATTTATTTATTATTTATTTATTTTTAATTGCTTTTTCACAGAGAGGAAGGGAGAGAGCTAGAGAGCTAGAAACGTCGACCGGCTGCCTCTTGCACACCCCCCACCGGGGATGTGCCCGCAACCAATGTACATGCCCCTGGCCGGAATCGAACCTGAAATATGGTAGCACTCATACTTGGGTAAAAACTGCTGTTTGAATTTTAACCTTGCTATCTGACTTCGACCTTCGATTACTTGCTTGAACAATAGGGTAGTTGCAGGAGATTGACTCCCACTGACTCAGTAGCTTCAGGGGTAGAAACTGTAGATAACCTTTAGTTCTGCTTTTGTATTATGGGCAAGATAGGGCCACATTCCAATGTCAAGCAGGGTGTGACTGGGAACCGACCCTGCGGGTGTCCCCAGTCTTTAGAATTTAGTCCTGAGGGGCCAATCAGGGTTAGCCGAGGCAGTGACATCACCGACCTGAGTAAAACCCCTGGACTGGGCGAAATTCGCTCTCTTCCTCTTCCGCCATGCTGCCGGCGTGAGTGGGACAGCCCATGCTAGCATGGAGATGGCTCTTTTGTTTATTGCATCGGACTCGGCTCCCTGGTGGTCCTTGGGGATCATGACTGGAATCCCCAGCCAGGACCATGAGGGACCCCCATTCCGAAGAGCCTGACTGGCCGCGGTAGGTGTGCGTTTGTCTGTGTTTTTGTGTGAGCGCTCTGGAGGGACTGCCCCTCCATCAGGGCTCTCACCTGGGTGTCTATCGGCTGCTGCGTCAGCCATGGTTTGAGTCCAGATTCGAATCTGTAATAAATTCTAGCATGCTTAATCAAATTGGCTCCGGTGGTCCATCTCTTGGGGACTCGCTTCGTAACAGAACCTGGGACCTTTCAGTCCGCAGACCGACGCTCTACCCACTGAGCCAAACCGGCTTCGGCTCGGGCAGAGGATTTAATGTTGTTGCACATTTCTAATTTTCTGTGAGAGCATAAAAGGTGAGCACAGTTTCCAAGTTAAACAGTTCCATTATTTACACAAACGGAAACAAACAAGGATCAAGCAGTGCCTCTCAGACGGGAGACATCGGGACAGAGGGAGTCCCCAGGGCCCCAGCCTGATCCCCTCTCCCCGCCCCGGCCCTCCCCTGAGATAGCCTCTCCCTAAACACAGATTTCTAGTCTACACACCCACGTGCTTGGACGTTTTTAAATCACGTCTTTTTCCTTTTCCATTTTTATAGCAAAGATGGAAATTTATTGAAGATCAAGTACAGACTCTCATGTGGGGAAGGGGAAGGTATCTCACAGCGCAGACTCTCAGGAGGAGAAAGAGTTCCCAAGAACAGACTCCCACATGGGGAGGGGGTCAGGCTCTCACCAACTTCCTGTTTCCGTGATTTATAAAGGCTGCAGTTCCTGTGTCCTGATATTCCCTTTCGAATTGCTTACTATAGTAATGCCAGCCTCCTTCATTGTCTTCCTGTTTCCTCTGCGCTTTCTTCCTCCTTCTTTATTTTGTAAATACAGACCTCTTGGCTACTCCCAATTTCCTTCTCTTCTGTACACATGTACCTTCTCCCAGTTTCCCTTGTCTTATGGAGATGGAACTGCTTCCAGGCTGTAGCCCTGTTTTTTTTTTCCCCCCATGGACCCCAATTCTAAAAATCCTCTAAATCTGCCTATAGCCCCCTAAAATTCCTGTTTCATTTCTTTTCCCCCTTTTAAATTGGATCTTCTTTATCTGCTTTATTTAGTTTATTTTATTTTTTTTAACTCAATCTTTATTGTTCATATTATTACAAAGGTTCCTCATTTCTTCCCCCCTCCACCAGGTTCCCACCCCACCCTCCTCCTCCTCCTCCCCACCCGCCATTGTCCTCATCCATAGGTGCACAGTTTATGTTCAGTCTCTTCCTCCCTCCCTTCCCCCCCCCCCACAGGAACAGTCAGTCCACTCCCCTCCCATATCGCCGACTCTACTACAATGAACTGCTATTATTGTTCATCAGGTTTTTTTATCTTTTTTTTGTTGTTGTTTTAATTAATAAATTTTTACACTTCTAAGAATAAATTTTAAAATCTAATAATTTTAAATCTTATTGTTGTGTTTTTTTTCTGCCCTGGGAATTGAGAAGCAAACTTGTTTACATGTAAACTTGCCCTTAGGCTATCAAAAGGCGTAGCCATTCAAGTGTAAATGGACACATTGTTTAAACATTGCTGCTGGTTGGAATTGGATTACCTGTTCTGGGTGGGAAGGGCTTGTCATTCCCTTTCTCCATTAAAATTAAGGTGTTAGCTTTAAAACCTCTTTTTGGCAAGAGACCTTAAACTTTCAGAACTTTAAATTTTTCAGATAGTAAATCAGTTACCTAGCATTTTTTCAAATCAATAATACCTCCACATGCCCAAGGATACACTTCACACAAAAGACATTTCCAAATAGATCAACCAACCTCATCCAGACCCCACACAAGGCACTCACAGATCAACACCCCAGCCCTATACTAACTCAACACATCCAGATCTAAGCCTTCATCACTTGATTCAGCAGACCCTCAAGTTCCCCCAAAAGTTTCCAGCCATGTCTGAGAGGCAGCCTTGGGGCGGAGGCAGGCGAGGAGTGAGCTGTTCCAGGCCTGGATGCTTCGGGCCTGGCCTCTGTTGCTCTGGTCCGTTCCACAACCAGCTGCTCCGGGTCTGGCCACTGCCGCTCCCTGGCTGCTCCGGGCGTGGCTGCTGCTGCTCCGGACCTGGCTGCTCCCGACCCGGCTGCTCTGGGCCCGGCTGCTCTGGGCCCAGCCGCTCTGGGCCTGGCAGCTCCCGATCTGGTTGCTCCTGGCTTGGCTGATGCTGCTCCAGGCCTGGCCACACCCAACCCAGCTGCTCCAGGCCTGGCTGCTCCAAGCATGGTTGCTGCTGCTCTGTGCCTGGCTGGTCCCGACCCGGCTGCACTGGGCCCGGCCACTCCGGGCCTGGGTGTTCCTGGACTGGCCACCCTGGGCTTGGCCGCCTCTGCCTCAGGCCTGGCTGCCACTGCCCCAGGTCTGGCTGCTCCAGGCCTGGCTGTTGCTGCTCTGGTTCTGGCTGCTGCTGCTCTGGTTCTGGCTGTTGCTGCTCCAGACCCGGCTGCCAATGCCTTGTGCCTGGCCACTCTAGGCCTGGCCGCTGCCGTTCCAACATTCTGTCCTTTAAAAAAAAAACCAAACACGCATTTATGTTGCAATGTTGGCTGCTGAGTTGAGTTCTGACTTAGTCTTCTATTTTTCAAGATCTTTGTATTCTTTCTTAAGTAATTTTACTATCTTTTGCTCTCACTTGATTTCTTCACATTGAGAACTTCTTTGGTTTCTTCCTCCTTGTCCTGGGAGCTCAGCAGGTTGGCCTGTGGCACCCCTTTGTTCTCCGCGGGCTCCTGCGCTGCTTCAGTCTGTTGCAGGGGGTCGGCACTGCCGCCCAGGAAGCAGCCCCCGGCCTTGGCTCAGTTGCCCGCGCTCAGCGGTCGAAGGCCCAGGGGCACCCCCGCCCCCTGGGGGCCCTGTCGCCCGGCTCCTTGCTGGTGCCCGGCTGGCCGGTGTCCGGCAGGGGCTCCTGCTCCTCATCGCGTTCCTCCAGTCTGGAGCTTTTTTTCTCCTTCCCACTGGGGGAGTCTAGCATCAGAGTCAACAGACTGTCCTCTGCGCGCAACGTGCGTGACTCCGGGGGCTCCGCTTTTTGCCGCTCCCCCAGGACTCCACCTCACAGCCCCGTCTCCCTCTGCTTGAGCCTGGGTCCCCAGGGATTGGCCTAGAGCTGGGGTTCAGAGCAGTCTGGACTGAGGCTCAGTGTCGCCGGAGGTTTTGTTTCTTCCCGCCAGGGCAATACAGCATCAGAGTCAACATTCCATCCTCTGTGCGCAATGTGCACGTCTCCAGGGGCCCTGCTTTTCTCTGCTCCCCTGGAATTCCGCCTCACAGCCCCGTCTCCCCCTGCCCGAGCCTGGGTCCCCACGGTCTGGCCCATATCTGGGGCTCAGCGCTGCCGGTTTGGGGGTTCAGTTCAGGCTGGGGGTTTTATTTCCTTCCTGCTAGGGAACGCCAGGCAGCACCCAGCCCTCTCCTCCTCTCCGGCTGTGTCCCCTCCGTGCGCGTGCGGGCATGCAGCATGTCTCCGTACCTTAGG